CACTCACTCACAGCGGTGTTTATCAAATTACTATATGCAAGTACATATACTTGTAGATGTGCATAAAACAAGAGACACAATTCAAATTGATCGTACAGCAAATGTCAAAATGAATATTTACGGACATTAGTATGACATACTGTAACATCATACACTACCAAAAACAAGTTATAGAACACCCACATTTATAAGATTGTAGTTTGCAATACAATCAGCCTTGACTAATTAACCATAGTCTTCTTAACTTCTTTTGAAAAAGTATATATTTAGATTTTAACTTGATTTATTTAAAGCGTATTTCCTTGATCCGCAACACGCTTTCGACGTGATGGTCAGATAAAACTACATAGGGCCATAAACCAATCACTTAAATTGTACGCAAAAGTCTGTGGAATGTTTTAAAATGACCTACGTCTGTAAAGTTAAATAATGTTTTAAGTAAGTTTAAGTATGTACTTTTAATTCTGCTCCATTCACATGTGCAGTTTAGCTCATTTGGTAACGTCGCTGACTGCGGATGAAGGGAATACGAGTTCGAATCCGATTCTAATGGATGTTTTTAATATAAAAACAAGTATTATGCACAAAAAAACTTTTTTGGGACAAAATAACCAAAATCATATTAATAATCTTCATTTTATTTACACCTTTCAATTTTGTTATGCTCTGGGCATAGATAGGTGATGTTTTGTAAATCAGCCACTTTCCTGACGTAAATCCCGATGCATTCCCAATGCACCCAATAATTGCAAAAGGTTTCCTTTTAGTCACAACCAATCCACTTGGCATTATTGTCCACAGTGCACCCATATAAACTGTCACAAATAGGACAAATAGTTTGGTTATGACTGCTTTGTTTTTGTTTACGTCTTTTGTTGGACCTTTTTGTGATGTCAGTTGTGGTTTCAACCGTGGGAGTTCTTGACTCGGGGTAAGTGATAGAAGTAGATGTTTGGGGTTTGAAGTTGACCATACAGTGTTGGAAGCGGTTCAGGAGTTTGGGTACTAACATGCGAGGTTGTTGAAATTGGTGCAGCCTGAGTTTGCGAAAGATGTGTGGGTTTCATTAAATGAATCGTTTCATTGTTAATTGGAACGCGTTTGTTAAGCTGGAAGAAAATGAAAACATTAATATATGCATATTTGCGGTTCATTAAACCTACATAATGTGTTTTAAATTGATTGTAAAAGTTTGTAAAATTTATAGTATATCACAACATGTGAAATACCTTTGGGACTCATTGATACCCCGGTGTGGCCATCTGATGGGGATCACTTGCATCAGATCCTCTGATCTCCAAGTAGGCTTCTATAATCAATAATTTTGTATAACAGATGAAAACCAACATACTGATGCCAGTTGGTGATGAGCTACTGACAATTCCCTGTCGCCGGAGATAGCAGGGTGGAGATCTTGGCTTAGAAAAAGCAAGCATTTAGAGGCAAGCCCTTGCACACCCCACCTGACAGGCCTGGACAAAATCACGTGTTAGATCCAGATGTATAGCAGTGGCACGACGCCATTTTCTCTGACTCTGACGCACGCACGCACACGCACACGCACACACACACATACACAGATTATTTTTTGTGTTTATTAGGAAAATAGTGACATTTATTTCCGAAATTATTTCAGAGAAATAATGTTTAAGGAGAATCTTCTAGAAAAGGGTGGAAGACCCACAGTGAAGAAACTCTTCATTACGCCAGAAGATCGCAAAGAGTCAGAAAAGCCCACCCACTGCCATTGATTCCTCTTTGTGGATTTTTTTACTTTAACATCCTGAAACAAATTTTACCAACATAACAATATTTTATACTTCTTTTCATAAATAACAACGAAATTTATTTGTAATACATACACATGTATATTCAACAGTTAAATGTCCATAAAAACATTATGATACAGCACAAAGACTATGAATTGCCTACACTTATTGCCACTTTTAGCAATGCAGCGCGAACTATTTCAAAAAATTTCCATTGATCACTGACGCCAAGGCCCGAATTGGGCGTTACCTGACTGCCTGGACTGCAGGTGGCGGGTCAGAGTAGGAAGCATGGTGGACGGAGAGAGTGGTTGACAAAGTACATTTCAGGTAATTTTTGACTTTCAATTTAGTGTTTTTGACTGATTTAAAGCACAGAATGTGTCCAAATGGTGTCTTCACGTTACGCCGACCTTTAGACATTTGGGGTCAAAATAAACTTTAAAAATCATAATAAATTTTAATTTATTTTCATCAGATGGACTTCGAAGTCGCTGCCAGGAATGCTGCCATATCGCGGTTTCCTCGTGCCACATGGAAGGGATGCTTCTTCCACTTTGCCCAGTGTGTATGGCGGAAGACCCAACAGTGCAACATGCAGAAAGACTATACTGACAGACCAGAGATTACAAAGTTCGTCAAGCAGTGTGCAATAATGCCACTCATTCCTGTTGGCAATGTAAGTAGTAACCAGACCGTTAGATTAGACTCTATTAACTTGATATACGTAATATACATGTTAATGTGTAATATATTCAATATGCATGTTAATGTGTGAAACTGACAGGATTACATTTTTATCTTAAGGTTGAAGACTACTTCCTTGACCTAATGGAGCGCGTTCCAGACGATGAAAGATGTCAAAGACTTGCAGACTACATGACCAGCAAGTGGATCGAGTGCGATCTCCACATCAACCAGTGGAACCACTTCAACAATGATGGGCCACGTACAAACAACTACCTGGAGGGATGGCACAGTCGACTGAAGATCACGTGAAAGGCACATCCCAACATTTTCGAGATGATTACCTTCCTTTCCAAAGAGCAGAAGTCCTCGGAAATTCAGAGCGCAGTACGAAGCAGTTCAGAAGAGACCTCCCAAGAAGAAGAAATACTCAGAAGTCGACCGCAAGATCGCCAATTTGAAGATGAGGCTGGAGAGGCAAGAAATCGACATCGTCCACCGTGCCGATGTTGCATCAGCCATTCTAATCAAGTTAAAAAAATGTAATAATTCATGTAAATCATGTTCTGTTCGTTGTACCAAATTGAAATTTGTCATGTCGCTGCTTTTGATACTATATAATGTGTGGAATAAACGACACAAAATGCATCATAAATCTGTTGTTTCTACTGTTAGAATGTGTCGTGAACACCATCCAAAAACACCATTCATTGCTTGCTTGTAACAACCTCGTGTGTTAACATAACACGCACACATCAAAGAAAAACCGCGTAACGCGAATAATCTTTTCTGAAAGTCGGCGTAACGCGAATGAACCGTCCAAATGGCGAAGAGGTACTCGGGTTCACAATAACCTGCGCAACAAACGGGGTAATATTATAAGAATCGATGAATGAAAGAAGTTTTCATAATGAATTTTATACGCACCATCATGCGCCAAGTAGTACAGACAACGCACGGACAAAACACCGCAAGGTTTTTGTAGCCACACAGGACCAGTTTATTCTACCAGTTGGGTTCATGGTCACCAGTTGGGTTCATTGTCACCAGTTGGGTTCATTGTCACCAGTTGGGTTCATTGTCACCAGTTGGGGGTTTTCCCCGACCTGATAAATCCAGTTCCTTCAGCCATTTGCTAAGATTTTTAACATATGGCTAGAAATTAAGATGGTCTTTAAAACTTATTCCCAAGAATTTGGCTTCCTTTTTTTAATGTGAGTGCCCGATGGATGTAATTCTTGGTCACTATGTGGTTTATATTTTGGAAATGAAATTCAATGCATTCAATTAAGAATTGATCTTCACTTTGTGCGAGTTCATTGGAGTATGAACCTTCATAGAGTGTAGGGCCAAACTGTATGAACGTCCGAGCTTGCGACTCTATGAGCAGGCATTGTTTGCTGAAGACCTAATTCTAATTCTCTTCACGGGCCGGATATTTTGTCTGCTGGCGTACGCGTGTTCTAGTCTTGGTAACTTATTCATTTTAAATTTAATTTAAGTAAGTTCAGTTATCAGTCAGACAAACTGATGTAAATCATGTTTTTCAACCAATCGGATTAAAGAACACAATCTTATTTTTAGTATTCCAGCCTTGAGTTTCACACAATGTACCAATGTGGGGAATCAAACTCCCAGAACGAACGGACACTTTAACCACTAGGCCACCTCTTCTCCCCAGAAGATGAAATGATTTAACAGAATCGTATAAACATTTAAAGTTTTATTTAAAAAATCCAAAAAAGAATAAATGTTCAACATGGTATTGTTTTTCTAAAGGTATGCACTTGGATTGTGAGTTTTACAAAACCAGTTATGACTCATAGGATAAAAGCAATTATTGGGTGCCATAAGAATGATTTCAATCATGAATCTATAACTCGGGGGGCACGGATGCGCCGCGATTCGCTGTGCAGAGTTGCGTCCCTTGGGCACTGAATCTATAACTCAATATTTGACATTGATAACATAACTGAAAGTAGGTCATGTTCAGGTATTAGACACAAGTAACTCAATAACATTTTGTAATTTAGCTGAAAGGCACCAATAACATTCTCTGAATATTTCTTTTTATTATTCAAAGCATTTTAAATATCATTGGACAGTAATACAAATCAGACATGTATTTGAGTAAACGTTTCATGGTTTATATGAACCTCTGTCCATGAAACAAGGACAGTTGCGAAAACTGACATGGTAGGCAACTCCTATGACCTTGCAACAAATAAAAATCAAACCCGAAAGCGGACATAAAATCCACGTTATTTGAATGGCGCTGTTCTCCATGCACAAGCATACTCTAAGCTTAGACATTGAAAAGTGTTCACCCAAAAATCATTCTCAGCTCAATGGAGAGTATACAAACAAAGCTGCCTGTTAGGCGCTAGAAGGTTAACAACCACATTGCCATCTCATCCTACCGGGTACCCGCTCACTGCTGGGTGGAAAAAAGGGACAATTCGAACAAAGTCACTTGCCCAAGGAGACGCGACATCTGTTACACGTACTTCAGACTGTAATAGTAGTACTAAAGTTGGCTATTATTTACTCTTTATTCCATCCGTCCTTGTCCTCAGCTGTAATACTTGCACAATTCTTGACCAGAAGTGCGGCTACAGATTCATTCCCATTCAAACAAGCTAGATCTAGTGCCGTCCATCCGTCCTCGTCCTCAGCTGTAACACTAGCGCCACTCTTGATCAGAAGTGCGGCTACAGATTCATGTCCATTCTGACAAGCTAGATGTAGTGCCGTCCATCCGTCCTCGTCCTCAGCTGTAACACTAGCGCCACTCTTGATCAGAAGTGCGGCTACAGATTCATGTCCATTCTGACAAGCTACATGTAGTGCCGTCCATCCGTCCTTGTCCTCAGTTGTAACACTTGCACCATTCTTGATCATAAGTGCGGCTACAGATTCATGTCCATTCTGACAAGCTCGATGTAATGCCGTCCATCCGTCTTTGTGTTCAGCTGTAACACTTGCACCATTCTTGATCAGAAGTGCGGCTACAGATTCATGTCCGTCCTGACAAGCTCGATGTAGTGCCGTCCATCCGTCCTTGTCTTCAGCTGTAACACTTGCACCACTATTGACCAGAAGTGCGGCTACAGATTCATGTCCATTCTGACAAGCTACATATAGTGCCGTCCATCCGTCCTTGTCCTCAGCTGTAACACTTGCACCATTCTTGATCAGAAGTGCGGCTACAGATTCATGTCCATTCTGACAAGCTAGATGTAGTGCCGTCGATCCGTCCTCGTCCTCAGCTGTAACACTTGCACCATTCTTGATCAGAAGTGCGGCTACAGATTCATGTCCATTCTGACAAGCTTGATGTAATGCCGTTCGTCCGTCTTTGTGTTCAGCTGTAACACTTGCACCACTCTTGATCAGAAGTGCGGCTACAGATTCATGTCCATTCTGACAAGCTACATGTAGTGTCGTCCATCCGTCCTTCTCCTCAGCTGTAACACTTGCACCATTCTTGATCAGAAGTGCGGCTACAGATTCATGTCCATTCTGACAAGCTACATGTAGTGTCGTCCATCCGTCCTTGTCCTCAGCTGTAACACTTGCACCATTCTTGATCAGAAGTGCGGCTACAGATTCATGTCCATTCTGGCAAGCTAGATGTAGTGCCGTCGATCCGTTCTTCTCCTCAGCTGTAACACTTGCACCATTCTTGATCAGAAGTGCGGCTACAGATTCATGTCCATTATGACAAGCTACATATAGTGCCGTCCATCCGTCCTTGTCCTCAGCTGTAACACTTGCACCACTATTGACCAGAAGTGCGGCTACAGATTCATGTCCATTCTGACAAGCTACATATAGTGCCGTCCATCCGTCCTTGTCCTCAGCTGTAACACTTGCACCATTCTTGATCAGAAGTGCGGCTACAGATTCATGTCCATTCTGACAAGCTAGATGTAGTGCCGTCCATCCGTCCTTCTCCTCAGCTGTAACACTTGCACCATTCTTGATCAGAAGTGCGGCTACAGATTCATGTCCATTCTGACAAGCTTGATGTAATGCCGTTCGTCCGTCTTTGTGTTCAGCTGTAACACTTGCACCACTCTTGATCAGAAGTGCGGCTACAGATTCATGTCCATTCTGACAAGCTACATGTAGTGTCGTCCATCCGTCCTTCTCCTCAGCTGTAACACTTGCACCATTCTTGATCAGAAGTGCGGCTACAGATTCATGTCCATTCTGACAAGCTACATGTAGTGCCGTCCATCGGTCCTTGTCCTCAGCTGTAACACTTGCACCATTCTTGATCAGAAGTGCGGCTACAGATTCATGTCCATTCTGGCAAGCTAGATGTAGTGCCGTCGATCCGTTCTTCTCCTCAGCTGTAACACTTGCACCATTCTTGATCAGAAGTGCGGCTACAGATTCATGTCCATTATGACAAGCTACATATAGTGCCGTCCATCCGTCCTTGTCCTCAGCTGTAACACTTGCACCACTATTGACCAGAAGTGCGGCTACAGATTCATGTCCATTCTGACAAGCTACATATAGTGCCGTCCATCCGTCCTTGTCCTCAGCTGTAACACTTGCACCATTCTTGATCAGAAGTGCGGCTACAGATTCATGTCCATTCTGACAAGCTAGATGTAGTGCCGTCCATCCGTCCTTCTCCTCAGCTGTAACACTTGCACCATTCTTGATCAGAAGTGCGGCTACAGATTCATCTCCATTCTGACAAGCTAGATGTAGTGCCGTCCATCCGTCCTTCTCCTCAGCTGTAACACTTGCACCATTCTTGATCAGAAGTGCGGCTACAGATTCATGTCCATTCTGACAAGCTACATGTTGTGCCGTCCATCGGTCCTTGTCCTCAGCTGTAACACTTGCACCATTCTTGATCAGAAGTGCGGCTACAGATTCATGTCCATTCTGGCAAGCTAGATGTAGTGCCGTCAATCCGTTCTTCGCCTCAGCTGTAACACTTGCACCATTCTTGATCATAAGTGCGGCTACAGATTCATCTCCATTCTGACAAGCAACATGTAGTGCCGTCCATCCGTCCTTTTCCTTAGCTGTAACTCTTGCACCACTCTTGATCAGAAGTGCGGCTACAGATTCATGTCCATTCTCACAAGCTTCATGCAGTGCCGTCCATCCGTCCTCGTCCTCAACTGTAACACTTGCACCATTCTTGATCAGAAGTGCGGCTACAGATTCATGTCCATTCTGATAAGCTACATATAGTGCCGTCCATCCGTCCTCGTCCTCAGCTGTAACACTTGCACCATTCTTGATCAGAAGTGCGGCTACAGATTCATGCCCATCCTGACAAGCTTGATGTAGTGCCGTCTGTCCGTTCTTATTAACAGCTGTAACACTAGCGCCACTCTTGATCAGAAGTGCGGCTACAGATTCATGTCCATTCTGACAAGCTACATGTAGTGCCGTCTGTCCGTTCTTATTAACAGCTGTAACACTAGCGCCACTCTTGATCAGAAGTGCGGCTACAGATTCATGTCCATTCTGACAAGCTACATATAGTGCCGTCCATCCGCCCTCGTCCTCAGCTGTAACACTTGCACCATTCTTGATCAGAAGTGCGGCTACAGATTCATGTCCATTCTGACAAGCTACATATAGTGCCGTCCATCCGTCCTTGTCCTCAGCTGTAACACTTGCACCATTCTTGATCAGAAGTGCGGCTACAGATTCATGTCCGTCCTGACAAGCTCGATGTAGTGCCGTCCATCCGTACTTGTCTTCAGCTGTAACACTTGCACCACTATTGACCAAAAGTGCGGCTACAGATTCATGTCCATTCTGACAAGCTAGATGTAGTGCCGTCCATCCGTCCTTGTCCTCAGCTGTAACACTTGCACCATTCTTGATCAGAAGTGCGGCTACAGATTCATGTCCATTCTGACAAGCTACATATAGTGCCGTCCATCCGTCCTCGTCCTCAACTGTAACACTTGCACCATTCTTGATCAGAAGTGCGGCTACAGATTCATGCCCATCCTGACAAGCTTGATGTAGTGCCGTCTGTCCGTTCTTATTAACAGCTGTAACACTAGCGCCACTCTTGATCAGAAGTGCGGCTACAGATTCATGTCCGTCCTGACAAGCTCGATGTAGTGCCGTCCATCCGTACTTGTCTTCAGCTGTAACACTTGCACCACTATTGACCAAAAGTGCGGCTACAGATTCATGTCCATTCTGACAAGCTAGATGTAGTGCCGTCCATCCGTCCTTGTCCTCAGCTGTAACACTTGCACCATTCTTGATCAGAAGTGCGGCTACAGATTCATGTCCATTCTGACAAGCTACATATAGTGCCGTCCATCCGTCCTCGTCCTCAACTGTAACACTTGCACCATTCTTGATCAGAAGTGCGGCTACAGATTCATGCCCATCCTGACAAGCTTGATGTAGTGCCGTCTGTCCGTTCTTATTAACAGCTGTAACACTAGCGCCACTCTTGATCAGAAGTGCGGCTACAGATTCATGTCCATTCTGACAAGCTACATATAGTGCCGTCCATCCGCCCTCGTCCTCAGCTGTAACACTTGCACCATTCTTGATCAGAAGTGCGGCTACAGATTCATGTCCATTCTGACAAGCTACATATAGTGCCGTCCATCCGCCCTCGTCCTCAGCTGTAACACTTGCACCATTCTTGATCAGAAGTGCGGCTACAGATTCATGTCCGTTAATAGAAGCAAGAAAAAGAGCTGTTGTTCCATTTTCACTTTTGTCGTCAACATTTGCCTCGCTATTGATCAAAATGTGCGCTACATTCTCATGTCCATTTAAACAAGCAATGTGGAGTGGATATGCTCCTGCTAGATACGTATACTCCGTTCCTAAGACAGGATTGTACAATGTAAGTTGAGCTCTATTTTGTACGTCGCCCGTCCTCCTGGAAACCAGATCAGAGACAGCTTCAACGTGACCGTTTTCACAGGCACAGTGCAAAGGCGTCCATCCTCGGTCATCGGTACCTGCTACATCCTCCCCCTGGTCTATCAACAAGTGCATGCGTCTTATATCACCGAGGCTGGCTGCTTTATGCAAACTGTATCTCGTATCATCTATGCTGGTCGACATATTGACTATTGTATACGCAAACGCTCTGGCATTCGTTGACGCTGGATTATTTGTCAGCTTTTCACATGGAGACTCAAGCACTGCAAGAAGGACAACGATATTTCAAATACAGAACGAAACAGGTTAATTCATCATTTAGCAATATATTTGAAATAAACACACTTTTAATCATTATATATTTTAACGCTTACAATGTTTACTACTTGAATCGACATTAAAGAGATTTTGGCTTTTGTACATGCTGTTTTCTTTGTAAATCTATGTATCAACCACAATAAACACCATGTGCCAACATATAAAATTCACATATATTTGATGATCCTCTATGACCGTTCATGAGCATGTGTTTTTTAATCCCTATCAAATATCAGGTGTCCACGAAAAGGCGAACATATCCTGTCCTGCTGGTGATACACATCACAAACACATGCAAAGGCAAGTCAATTGGTAATTTACGAAACATGGTAACATATGGTACAAGTGAAAACACGGAATTTAGGAACATATTTTAATAGTTGTCTTCCTTTATCATAACCGACATACAACCCCTCTACATTGTTATATTTCGTCAAATCGGGATTTGTTGAATATCCTGTGATAGCAATATTAATATTAAGTTTTTGCCCATTGCGAATATAGAGGTCCGGACACTTTCCAGTATGCCAGGCTTCACTCGTACTTGAATAACAAGAAATATTACAAACATTTCAATACAACCTGTAACATGTACGATGTACTTGCTTTAATAGTTCACTTCAACATTGGAAATAATACCAGTCGTTACTTCATCATTAAAAACATGTGAATAATAAGTGAGTGAGTGAATGACAATATTCTCTCAGCAATGTATCAGCAACGATGGTTGACTGATATCTGAGACTCTGATAGAAGGAATTGCGCAAAAGTAATCAAAACAAGCAGAGGTCTGTGACCTTTGGAAAATGGACAAATTTTAGGAATGTGCAGTCAAGTGGAATTGCAGAAAAAAAGGATTTATATAACAAAGCCAAAAGCCATCCATGAAGATATGAATACAGCACTAGGGAAGTATGTCCCAGTGTCAACATAACGAGTTAGGCAGCAGAGTTTGAGTGTAACAGGGAGTGCCTTGAAGACGACCCCCGTCCTGGAAGGCCTGTGAAGTCAGCAACACCAGAACTGATACAGAAAACCCACGTTGTGGTGATGACCGACCGGCGAATGACCGAGCGTAATACAGCTAATTCAGGAGCAGTGGATTCGCTACTGGTTTTAGTTTTTCGAATAGCTGGAAACAAGCCAGCAGCGGGTGTCAATCTAATAACTCACGTTAATGTCTCTAAGCATTCTAATGCAATTTGTCTAATATATAGTTATTCAGTAGTATTGAACTACTTAAAAACCTAACCATCAACATGCTTGATATTCAGTTTAGCACAACACATGTAACAAATATTAGCTTCCCATGTTTGACTGTAAAAGGCGACTATGCTTGTAACGGGATCGGGTGATCAGGCTCGCTGACTTGGTTAAGCATAACAGCGTATCCCGATTGCGTGAATCGATGATCATGATATCAATCACTGGATTGTCTGGTCCAGACTCGATTATTTACAGTCCGCAGTCATATAGCTGGAATATTGCTGAGTGGGGCGTTAAACAAACATATAAACTGAACCGCTTTATGAATTGTCCCTAACTTGCGTCTTACAGTACATAAACGTGGTACGACAATGCTAGATTTAGCGGGAAACGAATAATAACAAAGTTTTCTGACATAAGAAGTACGCCCAGTGGTACGTGGGTTTGGACATTCTAGTTTTGTTGTGGGATATATATTGCTATTGGCAGGATATGTTCACCTTGTCGTGAACACACTATTTGGTAGTGATTCATAAACACATGCCAATGACATGGTCGACTCTGATTGTGTACCATGAATATGGAATGTTTTTTGTCTTTTGTATGTATTTAGGTTTTGAGGTATATTTGGAAAACAATACTTATACTCACTATGTGTGTCAGTATCAGGCGGAATATGTTCACCAGCATATTCTCGCAACCTGCGCCAGATGTACTTCCTGTACCAGACAGTGTGGCAGCTTCTCATGACACTAGGAGGCACCTCCGATAGTACAGCTTCTGCTGCCTGTAACAATATAGAGCCACTGGTGACGAATAATTGACAAAAAAATAAAGCACTGTTCTTCAGTGTTTGACCCCTAAGGTGTCTATAGTGGCAGTATACGGTGTCATATTAGGTAAAGAGAAAAACATTGGGCAAGGCGTGTTTCCGATACAACGCTCTAATGTAAACACAAACGTTAACAATGGAATAAATAAAGCACTAAACGTTAACGTTTAAACAAGATAGAATTATAATAAAACTGACCTATGTTAACAGGAGTCTGGTGTCAACTGTAACTTGATAGCAGTCCGCTTATCCCTAACAATGGACTTCTATCTGGTCTACTGCTATGTGACGTTATTGGCGTTGCGTTTCTTGTTCGTGACGTCATCTTTTATGTTCAATGACCTCTGTTGTGAGCCTTTTTCCTCTATTAATTTTAGTAATGAAGTCACGAACGTAGTTGTTTTAAAAATTGATGTCTTTGCACATCACAATTAATTTCATTAATACACAAAACCGTGTCAAATAACGGATTTCTGTACCAGAATATTCTTGTGAAATATGTGAAGTTGGTGTATGAAAATCCTAAATGGCTGTCACTGACGGTATACGATCTCATATCAGGTCAGTGGGGTGGGGTAGCCCAGTGGTCAAAGCTTTCACTCATCACGCCGAAGATCCGGGTTCAATTCCCGGGTACATGTTTGAAGCCCATTTCTAGGGTCCCCTACCGCGCTATTGCTGGAACATTGCTAAAGGTGGCGTGAAACCAAGCTCGCTTGCTCACTCACTCACTCACTCAGAGCCTTTTTCCAACAGCATGATCCCGTTGAATGTCGATTTAGAGTGCCAGAATACATTGTACACATTGAAATATATTATATTTAAAAATAAAAGTCCACATTGTCTTCTTGCTTTTGTTTTTAATACAAACGTACTGTATAAAAAAACTTGTTAGAACTATGGAAATTTAAGTAAACATATATCGTAGAAACGGATCAGTATATTAATACTGATATGGTATGTTAAGATACTACTAGAAATATTCAGTTTTGATAATGACACATTTGAATGGCAAGTACCCAAGAGCATGCTCATGCGATTGACATTTGTAATATAGTTCCCATGCTGGGTGGAATTGCAGAAGATTTAGGGAAAAAAGTGGAAATGTTGAGAAATTTAAACTGTATAATAAATTATAGCAATTCATCATGTTTAGCTGTATATGCTCTTATCATTGATATTATTCAATAATGAAAGATTTATATATCTTATCTAGCTCACGTACCATATTCACAAACACGCCACAGCTATGTCCATCACTTTGACTCAGTACTGGATATTCTGTCTTTGTCCATGTGATCACTGACCCATCACCTCTCCTCAAACAGCGTGTATATTTTCTGAAATAGATATAGGATATAGTTTACGACCTCTATTTGTTTCCCCTGTCTCAAACCCACCTACAACCTAGCGCTATACATTTAGGACTGATTAACTATACATGTTTGTAGCTGAGCCAGATTGCAGCTTTTGTTTCAAAATCGGTAGCAGACATTCATCAGTGTGTACCTCAGCTCTGGTCAGCGCAGTAGTCTTCATCAATTGTAGGCTGTGAGTTGACCACATCACCTGTTCGGCCCACCTACTTACAGTGTTGTTCATAGAGAATCTCACTAGAGTGTCTTTTAGAGTAAAAAATATCAACGAGTGTTGATATATTTGACATCAAAAGACACAAGGGTGAGCTTTAATTTATCATCCAACATCATTCTGCCAGCTGTTTCAGTTTGTAGCAGTAATACGCAGTGTCTTTAGTGTAAAAAGTATTGCTAACAGCTTCAGTAGCAGTCATTAGTGATGTCATTTGTGACGTCGTGGTAACCAATGACGTCACTATGGTCTGCAAAACAGTGTGATGCAATTATGTTGCAGCAATATCTAAACTATATATATCACTTGATCTCATCCAAGCGATATCAGTTTTGGATGATAAAGGTTTATCTCTACATATAGCTGACCACGCCCTCAAATTACCTCCAATGTTGTATAAGTTTGTCCCCTACATCAAGGACAGGCTTAGAGTTGACCACGCCCACTGTTCCATCCTGGGCATTGGCGACCAGAAGCACCCAGTGTTGATTCAGTGGCATGTTCACTGGCATCAGGATCCACGTGTAAGTTCCAAGTTCCTCCTAATATAAAATAAATCCGCAAAATCATTGCCATAATTAAAACAAACACCTTGAATGATACCGACTATATCACGAGCATGTGCTAATAAATCACTGGCAAATAGTGACAATACCAGTTCGCAAAAGGTGACCGTATTCTGTCCACCGGTGGCACCTGTCACAAACACATGCAAAGACAAGTCAACCGGTCGCCCGAGAAACAGAGACATAATTATTGTACAAAAGTCAAAACATGGAATTGCATCGTGTTTGTCACTGATACAAACCAAACATTTTAATGCTTTTCAGACTAACGCCTGGTTTCCAAAAAAGGAAAGAAGCACATACATTTATATTAAAAAAGGAGCTCCACTGAGATGGGGGACAAGCTAGAATGAGGAAAGGGTTATGTCGCTCTTATTTACAGTAAAGGTTTTGGTGAAAAGGAAAATAATATGGTCTTGAATGTTTTACCCTGATCAAGCAAGGTTCATTTGATGCTCTTTAACCACATAGACGTATGTCTATCTACAGATTACTGTATTATAATTTACAATAAGTTCTTTTCCATTTGATCAAGTTTACTGATATTAGCATATCCATACGATTACTTCCCTCTGATTTGGATACATGCGTATGATACTTATGTTGAAATGGCTATGATATTGAACATTTCAAACTCAATAACTAAAGTGGTTAATGTCTGAAACCTGCATCACTTCTTGCTTTCCTCCCACATTAATCTGACACACTGTGAAATAATTGGAACACTGTTGAAAGCAGCCATTAAACCTCGTTATAACCGTAGTTTACTGCACATAGCATGTTGACATATGTCCAGTGATGATATTCTTGGAAAAGGAAAACTGCTGCTCTAGATCTTCAATGAACTGTCTCCAAAACCGACCTCATATCTCTTAGAGCCTAAAGTAGATGCTAAACAAGGATCCATAACCGAATCGAAGATCTTCAAAAGTCTCTTTAATTTCCATCTTTGGACGAAAACCTAATACCAGTACTTTACTCATCACTTTATACAATGTACATGACTATGCTCGTCCAACCTTGCAGGGGTGCACGTCATACTCGTCTTTCTCCCAATGGTTGACAAGGAAGGAATCAAGTACAGCGCAGTGGCGGCTGTGGATCCTATTCCACGTGGTCTTCAGGACATGCATGTATGCATTCATCACCTGCAATGGAGGTTAAAGTACGGTTATAACGAACACGCTTATAACGAACTGACGGATATAACGAACTTACTTTTTTGGTCCCGACTATTTGCTGTAGTTATGCTATATATATGCTTATAACGAACTACGGTTATAACGAACTAAAATTAGCAGTCCCTTTGAGTTCGTTATAACCTTAGTTTCCTGTATACAAAACCCCTTCGTCACGTGTTACAACCAGCAATTTAGAAAAACATTATTGCAACATATATCCTGTCTGAACTGCTCAAATAACGATTGAGCGAGTTAATGTTATATGGCCTGTAAGCAATTTCAACTATTGGAACAAATGGTCTTTTTATCATCTATCAATATTGTACAATTTTCATTTTTAATAATGTTATTCCTGATATCATTATTTGACATGGCCTACCGACCACGACCGAGAAGGAAGATGGTCCTGGTCGATTTTGTACCTTTAATTTGTCCAAGTAATGTTAAACTTTTAGAAAGGATTTTCAGAATAAAATTATATAATACATAAAGAGCAAAATATAAGCTACGAAATCGTAAAAATTACCTCATCGCCAAGCCATGCTGTTTGATCGAGGAGATGATTCCTCTGTATGTTGTGGGGCCCCACCTTGCACATCTGAGGATCCGTCCCATCGTCGTCATCTGTTAAGGCGTTGTCACCCATCACATGTGATGGGTACATATAGAGGGTGTCAACAAACTCTGTGATGTCCGTCTTCATGTGATATGCACCTACTATGACAGCAGATACCAGTCTGTGATACGTATCCTTGCACTGGTCTTCGCCGAGAACATCCGGGCTAAGTCGTGACCACTTCAACCTGTCACTGACTTCTGTGAGGTCATTTCTCCATTTACAGTCGATGTCAGCGATTAATGATAAACATGGACTGTCAAAGGTAGGAAATCTGGTGCTTTTCTCCCAGTATTTTGCCTGCTTCAACACACGTCTTGCGATAACGATATGAGTACGTTTGTTCAGCAAACATTCGGTGAGTGACTTGAGGTTGGTCGGTCTTTCATCATGTTGATGACTAACACTTTCGGTGGTTATGATGTCTATCAAATTGTTTTCAATTACTTGTTCGTTTTCTGAACGTTTAGGAGTTTTCACACGATTTACCATATCAGGGTCATGTGTCCTTTTCCTTGAGCTAACTTCATCTAAGGAAGCCAGGAAAGTAGGAGAGTTAGTATTTGCACGATCATGATCACATTCCATATCCCTGGTCTCCCAATCTCCACCATCTTCATCTCCAGAACCAGCTATTATCGCGTAACTGTTCACTATCTGGGATTCATGGTGGAGGGCTGTATTCAAACGCTTCTCATATTTTGGATCGGATAATGCTACTGTGCATTTCCCAATGTAGTGTACTAATATATATTTCACGTCTCCCTCGAGCAAGTTGTATGCCTGTCGTTTAAAAGCCTCGGTGGTGGTGCCATCACTTTTATAAGCCACGAAGTCCTGCTTGAGAACCTTGGGTGAAGGTTTAGGCTGTTCACGAGAACCATTGTGCTTGAAGTAGTAGTTGTCATTTTCCCAGGAATCTGTAGAGCAATAATAACTTAACTTAATGATTACAAGACGTCATTTCGGTCGGTTAGGTGTTAGTTTCGGTTATATATTTGGGATATATATTTGAGTTATATATTTTGGATCTGCTGCAATAAAAATAATTCATATAATATACATACAGATTCGATCATGTTTTCCCCCTAAAATTCGCGTTAGTTGATTCAATGTTTCCTGGTTTATAGTTGGTATCTGCTGCAATGAACATAATTTAATATAAACACAGAATCAAGCCTACATCCACGTCCACCATCAAACAGAATGATCAATAACGAACTATTATTAAGGACACAATGTGAAGGTTATAGACAGTGTCAACTAATGACGAATCTGGATGTAACGTTGTTCACGGCAAACAGTCTAAATCCAAATTTAAGAGGTTCTAAGTCGACACAAATTGTAAGTGAGTTTACATTTAAATTCAAGGTGGCTTTCTTCAGACCAAAGATGACAAGAACACGTTCTAATTTATGAATAAATTGAAACTTGTAAATATGAAACAATGTAACAAATATCACAAAATGTTAAATAATGTTGCCACAATATTATGTACAAGGGATTTATAGTGCATCTGCTACCTGATCAGTACCGCACATGCAATCAAACTTTCTTAGTGAATATTTGCATAGCTTTCGGCCCAATCAATACATTGACAATCAACTTCATCGTATGTTCTTTAAGTGCAATTCTTTAGTTGTTTTGTTTTTCTGCATCAAAAGTAGCGTTTGGAAAGAGAAACTGCCAATGCTTTTTAGCGTAAAATGTTTTCATTATCACTGCCTAGCTACGTGCATTGATCTGCAACCTGAATCAATACAAAGAGCTTGGTAGTGCGTTGCATGGCCTCAGATCGGGGTGCTATTTACGAGTTGCAGTCGGGAACGTTTTTTTCATTACAGGTAACACGAGTACGTATATTCCCTTGCAAGATCCGGCTCATTGCCACGAAGTGCGAGCGATGAGCTGTCATTCCATATATACGTGTTGACTGTTTCAATAGCGGGTTATATTTAAACCTTACGTGTGTGTAAATATAACTGATATCACGATCGCGATCACAGCATACTAGTATGTGAACGTTTAGTCAACTATATTTGTATTGTTCATAGGGATCAGTGGGTCTAGTAGGTCGCTATTCATCTCTACATTGTGAAGGCTAAAGCATGAGTAAAGTAACATTTGGTAAAGTGGAGTAGTGGCGTAAAGTGGCGTAGATCTTCATAGGTCATCGACGTTTACAAGCCTAGAATCACATAAAAGACAAATCTGAGATTCGAGCCCAGGACTATTTTAGAAACAATGACTACCCTCCTTCCAAATGCCACTCCGTCTTTTGTGTGTTTGTTTTTGTTCCAGTGATTGATATCATGAGCCTCGATACACGCAATTGGGATTGACGACATGCATCAACCAAGTCAGTGAGCCTGACCACCCGATCCCGTTAGTCGCCTCTTACTACAAGTATTGTCACCTTTTACGGCAAACAGGTGTTGCTGAAGACCTATAAATTCTTCCCCGGATCTTCACTGGTCTGTGGCTCCTTTGACTATTTGACACCTGCTACTTGCTCCCAATACCCACCCATACGACCCCATCACACCACATCCCACAACATGTCACATGACAATAAATAATACAAATAATCAAATTTAGTGTTTCATTAATACTGTCTTATTCCATTATTAATCCTCCCTTTATTAATACTCATCAGATTATGCATTTTTATTAATGTTAAAACTTCAAGACATGCACTCTTTAACCTACCTTCCGCCGAGTCTGCCTCCACCCTGTACAAGTACCCGTCTCCTCCATGGGGTTGAGCAGGGGGTGTTACTATAGCCCGTGTGTCATCAGGGTTCTCCAGTATCTCCAACACTTCAGTGAGCTTCAGTGCCTTGTTCTTCCCCGTGAAGTACGGAGCTATCACCTCTCTGTCCTCCCTATCCATAGCTCTGTCTACTCAATGTCTGCTGTATGACTATGTCCGCGCATCCTTTTGTACAACGCATAACGAAAGAGAACTAGGGCTGTAGTGACGTGGCACTTGATATACGACATGACGGTTGGCTGCCTGTAATACGGGCACACCCAATGAATACCACTGTGCTGTAACGCCCTGTTCGCAGTATACATTATACACATCCATGTCATTATCATATCCCAAAGCAGAACGTTTTGAATAAACAAGGAAACTTTGACGTCAGGCAACGGACTATAGCTTCAGATTCATGAACCCCTGTAATACAGATAGACATGTTTATGTAAAACGTTTAATTATTTTCATGGATTTAATGCCTATGATATCCCCGTATCATTGCCTTGTATCTGAAACTCCGAAATCCGAAGTCCGCTGTATGTTGTCCAAACGTGTGCAGCGACCAGAAGTGGGAAAAACACCAGAGATTTTTTTACGTGTCGCTTGTATTTAAGAAACAGTTAATAAGAGTACTACCATCTGCCCTACTTGTGTTGATTTAAACTGTCTCGCGATGTGCTCCAATGGCAGTGTTAATGCGTCGTCGTCGGACATAGTTGTTAAATGGAGCAATGTATGACATAGTAACGCGGTACAAACCCGGAATACAATTTACAGTTCGCTTATGAATACTTTCTTATTTTCATGGTTATGTGTAATTTATGAATAATTATTGACTATTGAAGTATGTCTTTGCATGTGGGTATTTGTATGAGCAGTTCAAATGAAGGAAATTAGTCACAGGCACTGTGGTAAAAAGGCAAAATAAAGTGCAACTCGTTTTGATTTTTATACAATAGGATATTTTCTAACCAAAACAAAATAGATTTATATGTTTACTTTTTTAACAATATCCTTTGACGACAGGTGATGTTTGCAAATATTGCAAAAAATGAAGCATAGGAAGATAAATATCACCAACAAATGTATTATGTGAAGAAATAATATATCATAGCCTTAAATGTGACAATCTAGTTATATCCAATATATTATAAAACGAGTTTATTATGCTTTATGATGGCGTGGACAATCATGAAATTGTCGTTGAAAAATAAACATGTCAATGATATTACAGCTTACAGCTGCGTAACTGAAATGATTTTTGTTGTTGTTGATTAATTATGCAGGTCTTAAATTTCAACATTTCAGAACAGGATGATATGTGTGATAGTATTTAAGATGTTGTGTTATTAAGTAGCAATCTTGGCCTGTAACCTTAGACTCATATTAAGTACCCAAAGACAGATATTGGCGTGAGTAAAGCTTACTCTACAGCCGATCATTAAGATAAGCAACTGAACATGTAACTGAACTGATTGCAAATGTGACAGGAACCACACTAATGATTCATGTACGCAAACATAAAATCGCGTTGTAGACAATATAATGTAACACGATTACATTCAATATCTAACGCTTACTTATACCATCACTACACATGCAATTCACTCCCCTCATTTCAAATCCAAGATCATACACTTGTATCCGGGATCCGAAATCCGCTATTTCTCGTCCAAAGCGATATTCCCCGTCGTCGAAGGGGAATCCCCTTTCTAACCACTATAAGTACATGTAGTACCCTGGTGCACATTCTATTCCAGCTTTACAAGCGATGAACAGTTTCCATATCAGGAGTAGATGCAGTCATAGTGTTTACACTTAACATGGGAAATGTTCTTTGATGTTGGCCTGGATGTCGGTATCAGGTAGGTCTAAGACATTTTTAAATAACCATTGCTTCCTTTACCTGTTAATGTTTTGAGGTACAGTGTAATATTTACATAATCAAAGCTTTATTAGGTCAATTGCACTATAGCAAAATTTGAATTGGGTGTTGTGCTCGTGTGCATATTAGTAATAACTTCAGGCTTACCTCCCTCACCAAGTTGACACGTATTGATAAAGGCTTAATTTAAGTGCGTGAATTGTTTTAACACCACTTTGGACGGGACTGCCTAAAAGTCGGGCCAAGAAAAGTCGGGCCGGGTCGAGCCAGCGGGTAATACTAAAATTGGATTGCAGAATAATAAAACGAAACGTGCATATCTAGGCAAATCTCAAATGTCCAGAAACGGATAGTTTTGCTCATTTAATTGAGTTTGAATCAAAATGTATCTTCAGCAATGTAATGAACTGATAATTATAGCTACATACCGAGAGTTCATACCGAAAAGTCAGTGTTTTGACTGTGTCTTTACTTTGATGAGAAGGTTTCTCACCGACACTAACGTGCAGGGGTGTGATGTCCAGGGCAGGAATTCGAAATGACAGTGTTTTGACTACTCTTCTTTCATTAATTAACATGTTTGGCATACCTAATTAACCTTTACTAATTCATGTTAAACCAACACAGGATGTTTTCTGCAAGTGGATATTCGCGAATGTCATAGGACTGACACGACACGTGTTAATAACTGTCAAAGCGCTTCTAAAAATACAACACATTCTTTACATCTATAGACTAATTATAATATCATATCTACCTATATAACACTGAAGTGTCTCATATTGCAGTAGAAAACACGGTGCTCAAAAGTGAAGCCTTTTTCCCTCTACATTCTCTCTATCAGAAGTGCGTTGCTTGTGTTGGGTCCGACTTGGCCCGGGATGTCAAAATCAACTTTAAAAACAGAGATGCATCTTCAAATGTGTTTACATCTATAGATTAGTGTTATATCTACCTATATTCCACTTTATAATGTCACGGTACATCGTATTTAAAGAAAACAAGGTGCTCAAAGTCAAGCATTTTCACTGTATTTTCTTAAGAAAATCTCTGTCAGAAGTGTTCGGTCCGACTTGGCCCGGGCTGTCAAAATCCCATTAAACCTCACAGATGTATCATCAAATGGATTCACATCTTTAGATTAGTATTATATCTACCTAAATACCACTTATAGTGTCTCAGATCGATGTACATAAAGAAAACAAGGGGCTCAAAGTGAAGCCCTTTTCCCTTTACATTCTCAACATAGTCTCTATCAGAAGTGTTTTACTTGTGTTGGGTCCGACTTGGCCCGGGCGGTCAAAATCAACTTTAAACACACAGATGTATCTTCAAATGTGTTTACATCTATAGATTAGTGTTATATCTACCTTTGTACCACTTTATAATGTCACAGTTTATCGCATTTAAAGAAAACCATGAGTTCAAAGTGAAGCCCTTTTTCCTCTACATTCTCAACATGACTAGTATTATATGTACCTATATAACACTTAATAATGTCGCACGATAACTCAAAGAAAACTGGTCTGTTAAAGTCGAGCACTTAGGTAGGTTATTGTGTTTTTAGATGCGTTTTATTAGTTCCGTTTTGATTGAGAATACGCCTAAGGCCTTGAAGTTTTCTAGTTTATTTTGTTGGTTCAGTATTGCTTCTAGAGTGAGAGCCTTGTTTAGATTGAGGGTGGTTTGTTATGTGGTTCGATGTGTTAGGTAGTGTGTGCAGTGGATGAGTGCGTGTTCTGGGGTTTCTAGTTGTTTGCAGTGTGGACAGTTACCTGTAGTGTGTTTTTTTAATATTTTTTAGGGGGTTATTTAGGTTGGCGTGTCCTGTTTGGAGTTTAGTGATTACTCTGTCGATTTTTTTTATGGATGGAGAATTTTTGGTTTGGTTAGTGGTTGGCTGAGCAAAGTTAATCGAATTACTTTCGTGACGTATTTTAGGCCTGCCATACAGTTCCTGAAACAAATATATACAATACAGCCGATGTAAGTCAATCATATTTGGCAAGACTAGATTACGGCAGTTATATATTTTATCAATATAATCAAACAATTGTTTTATTTTTGTAAAATATATGTTCATTTCAGAAACTAGATGTTAGTCTAGCCAGCGGTCTAAACTCGCATTAATTTGGTTACACGTTTCATGATTTACAGTATTCGTGAAGAATATGTAACAATTATCCACAATTAGAGCGTTTGGTAGGAGTAGAGGGAATGATAAGCATAGACTTGTTAAGTATTTTATGATATTCATGATAGCTCAAAAGAAACTTTGATTTATGTTTGTAGTACACCCCAAAAAGAGGGATAACACAAGTGATATATTAAGATGACATGACATACTTGCGTGTATAAACTACTATCAAACAGTCCGGACAACAGGTGTTTGCATAGAGGTGAGCGTATCCTGCACCACCGGTGGAACAAACACACGCAAAGGCAAGTTAGTTGTTAAACCCGAAAAACACGGAAACGATTAGCACAAGTCAAAACAGACAATTTCATCGGACATAACGCCATTTGCTACTTCTGTGGTAGTCACCAATCAACCCATTTATACTTCATAAAATAGCTTTAACCCTTATAAAGCTTTTGAGAAATTCAACAGTATGGGTTTGGTCTGACAAAGCAAGAAGCACAAATGGGGAATGTTTCGGCCAATGATTAGAGTATTCTTGCAAGTCTAAGGGTCCAACAGGAGTTATTTCTGCGACATGCTATTTCAAAACCCAAAGGTATTAATGAGATTGACCTGGATAGCCTATTCGCATCTGATAATATTAACATTATCACTGAAGATCTGACTTGTAGACTTAAAGACATATTTGATAAATACATTCCAACTAAAACTGTCACAATACAAACAAAGGATCCTCTATGGATAAATAACGAGATACGCTCTCTTATTAGGAAACGTAATCGTATTCACAAAATTGCTAAAAACAGATAACGACCGTCAGATTGGGAAAAATGTAGGCTTTGCAGGAATAAAGTAATATCATCAGTCAGAATAGCCAAAAGAGCTCATGAACTAAAAATAGATAACATCATAAATACTTCATATGGTACTAAGATCTGGTGGCGACTAGTTAAAAAATATGTCAAAACGCACACCGAAAATTCGTCGTTTCCGTCAATAGTATCAAATAATGTTTTATATGATGATATTGAAGATATTACCAATGTCCTAAATGATTTTTTCACTGACCAAGCAAGAGTAAGAAATCCCGATTCTGACCTTGCATCTATTGGACCATATACAATCGACGACCCATTACTAACTGAATTTAAATCAAGAAGAAGTTCAAGATATTCTTCTTTCTGTAGATA